GGAGATATTTTTGGGAATTTTTGAAATTCGCGCTGGTCAAGGACGTCTTGGCCTCTGTCTGGAGACCTATGAGAGCTTTTCAATAAAGGATATAGGTGACAAGAGGTTTGTATTTTCCTTCTTTCATGGAACTGATATGAGGCATGTTATTGAATATGTTCTGAGATTATATGACCATGACTTGGTAGTATTGTATGAATTCAAAGCAGATGACTTGACTTTGAAAGTTGCTTTTCACCTTTTAGAATTCTAGGTTCAAGTGTATGATCTGCCGGTAGGGTACCTGGCCCTAAATATGGCTCAAGCTATTGGTAACTCTATAGGCAAGTTTGTCAAGCTAGATGAAAAGCAAATTGAGGGACGCTAGAGGGCTTACTTGAGAATTCAGATTTGCTTAGATATAGGGGGGCATCTGATGACAAATGTGGAGGTTCGGAAAGTAAATGAAGATTGTTTATGGGTAGATTTCACGTATGAAAAGGTACCCATTTTTTGTTTTGCACGTTGTGGCATTATTGACCATGCAAATAGGTTTTGCCCTCAAGTACCAAGACATCCAAACTCATAGTAAGTTAAGGAGGTTGGGCTGTAGATGAGAGCAAAAAGTGGGCAGGGTGGTATGGTATGGATAAGAAATGACTGGTCTTGGAGAAATGAAACAAGTAGGGATAAAAAGATGGTTGGTATGGAAGGGTTCCCATTGATAACAACTGTAGTGGATATGGTCTCTATTGTACATGCAGGTGAGTCTGGTGATAATAGAAAAATGAAAGAAGGCGTGTAGGTGGCGGAACAAAAGCATTGGTGGGTGGAAGATGTGTCGGCGACAGGTGACCTCACGATGATGGAGCAGGAAAATAATGGTGAAAAAATGAGGTTGAGGTGAGCTTTGGATGACAAGCTTGGCGGGAAAGAAGTAGGACTGTTGCGCCTCGTGGCACTCTTATTCATTTCATTTTTTTATTTTTGTACTAGACAATATAAGTGTTTTGTCTTTGTGTTGTTCTTGGTCTTTTTGTGAGGACGGTAGGTTTTTATTTTATTTTGGTAGTTATCTTGACATATGTGGTGGTTTTTTCGAGGGAAAAGTCTCTCCATTTGGTCATTATAGACAACTTTTCCATTCAGTGATTAGCGAATTACTGTGCTTCTCTAACGAGAGTAATTTTATGTCTAACCCTAAGGTTGTTGCCCAAATTGGAGGTGCTTATCTGATTGTTTGTTTGCGTGTTTTTGATATCAATATAAGGATGTTTTTATAACTGATCTGGTCTAGTCCGAACTGGTCTATTGTGCTAAATGTTTGGTCTCTATATATTTTATAACTATGAAAGTCTGATTTAGTATGCTTAAGTCTGGTTTGCTCTGCTCTGTTTAAGTCTGGTTTTGTATGGACCGACAACCGTCAAAATAAAAACATCATAAATCTTTGTCATTAAAATACCTTTTCTATTGCACATCGGCTCCAATTGATTTCAATTTCGGTATAGCTTCTACCGAATATACTAATACGAAACTTAGCAATTTAAAAAAATGAGTGAAATTAAACTTAAGCAATATTAATAATAGCGTGTTTGGTAACCTTGTTTTTCGTCTAACATTTTCACCCAACATGTGATTTTTTATTTTGCGAGCTGAAATGTATAATAATGAGAAAAAGTAAGATTGTAGTACTTTTCTGTCTGTATTGGCTGAAGTTACTGTAAATGACCATTTTAGCTGTTTTTCATATAAATTTTTCTTTATTTTACTAACAAAATATATCTTAAATATTTTTCCCCATAAATCAGAAGAATCATTTAATCCAGCCACTTCATTCAGAACTTCATAAATCAACATAATCAACCAATCCAACCACTTCAACCAGAACTTCATAAATTCAGCACAACCCCATACAACCGATTTGAGTATTACCAAATGAACCACACCAAATTATAACGTTTTTAATTAGATTGATTTCAGTCCAAATCAAATCGCATATAATCAGACTTAAACAAACCATACCAGACTTCAATAATTATTAAAGGGAAAATGGTCAAATAGACTCTTCTATTAAACTACTATTTCAAATCCATCACTTAATCTCTTCTACTAAAATAAGCAGAATATAAGTCCACTTACTTTTTAAATACAATCAATAAAGCCATTTTCACCTGCTATAGTCGGTTATACATTTTTTTTAAATAAATTAGGGCTATTGACAAATCTTATAAAAATTCATATAAATTCAAAAAATAATGTAATAATAACACCAAAACAGAATAAATGTAAAAATAGATAAATAATTGAAAACAATAAAATAAAATAATTAAAAAAATCATAAAAATGAAAAACTAAAGTGAAAATGTAGAAAATATAAGTATAAAACGTAAAAATCATTAAATAGATGTAGAATATATAAATAATTTCAAAACTTCAAAAATATTGACTTTGACATTCTAAGAAATTTTGCAATTTTTTCAATATTTCTTTACATTTTAACATTTGTTTTGATTTTTTAATATGAAAAACTTGCTATTATAGGTCAAAAACTGAATAAATGGCCAAACTGGTCATTTTTTAAAGTAAACATACTTATATGAAGCTTTTTTGATGTATAATGTATGGCTTAAGTGATGAGTTCGAAATAATTAAAGACCTTATTTGACCATTTTCCCATCGTAAAATACAACAATACACCTATATTTAAATATATTTTTTCAAACTCATTTTTATTCAAATTAAAAACACTGGCTATTAGCCCTAAATAGTAAATAGGACTAATAGCAGCCCTAAATGCAATAATCAGACTTTAATCTTTTCTCTCTCTCTTCAAATTATGAGTAATATGTATGTCTTCTTCCTAAACGGGAGAAAATATAAAATAAAATTAAATAAATAAATAATAATAATATACTTTAAAAAAGAAATAATAACAATAAAAACAAATATTTTAAAAAACTTAAAGAGGCTTAAAAATAAAATAAAATACCTTAAAAATATTTTAAAATATGTAGGTCACTGCCACCGCATCATCCACCCGAACATCACCGGCACCGATCACCGAAAAAATACCACATTTCTATGAAAATGTCATGAAAATGACATTTTTATTCTTTAAAAATGTTTTAGCCTTCTTTTCAAAATTCCCATAATGATGATAATTTTTTTAGGTTGGCATTCTTTTTCCATAACCGGAAGTGACAGTGCTAGGTAGGGGTGCAAACGAGCCGAGCCGAGCCCGAATTTATGTAGGCTCGAGCTCGAGCTCGAATTATATTGTATTGGCTCAAACGAGCTTAAAAAATATGGGCTCGAGCTCGGCTCGCAAATATTTATTCGGCTCGATTTGGCTCGGCTCGGTTCGGCTAGATACTTTTGGTTTGTTCAAAAGTTACAAGTTCGATTAGCTCGAAAGTTCGTGTTCGAACTCGAGCTCAAGTACGAAACAATCTTTAAATAATTGTGCTTAACATTTGCAAATTGCAATTTACATGCCCAACAACTAAACCTTACGGGAAAATAAACAAAATGTAATTCTAACTTCGAGTCTCTACCCAATTGTACTTCTAATATAAATCAAAAGTGATCAACCCATTAAGAAATAGTGGGTGAAACTTTGATTATTTTTGTTAAATTACTTTATAATAAAAAATATCTCCCCGGTCCTCATATACATTTATGAATCAAGTATTATATATATATATATATATATTAATTTATAAAAAAATTAATTTATATTATATATTACATATACTAATATATACTCCGTAATTTAGGGGTGGGCATAAAAACCGCACCGAACCGGTACCGAACCGGTCCGTAATGGTACCGAACCGAATATCGGGTATTTAAATGGTTCTATAAAATTTTATCCCGAACCGAAACCGTACCGTTTCAAACGGGTATGGGACCGGTCCTAGATTTTGAGAACCGAAAAATACCGGACCGAACCGTTCAAAAATAACGTCGTTGAGATTTTTTATATTTTTCCATACCCATAAATATCTTCCATATATAGACCAACAACATTATAGCCCAAGTATGTATTCATGCATCCCTAAAATAGTTAAGTGTGTGTTATATATATATTATTCCGTATTATTTTTTCCTTTTAGATAATTAATTTATGTTATATTTGATATATAATGAAAGAATGCCAAAGTTTTAAAAAACATTAATGACTATTGATTTCTAGTAATGTAGTGTATATGACTTTTGTTGTACGTTGTATCATATTTGTGTAGTTTTATAACTTAATTAATATGGTTTGAATCACATCTCTTACGGTTCAACTATGAGCTATATTAGAATTAATATTCAACCTAGAACTATACTTTTACTAAATTTCTTTCACTATTTGAGTGTTTTTGAATTTAAATACAAAAATGTCAACCTCTTGAATCTTTTATAGTATTTAGTATGTACTTTCATCAAAATTTCATGTCAATTGGTTCGTGTGATGATATCTACTAATTGCAAAATTTGTTCACATGTTTCGGCATGTGTTTGGCATTGTAGCGAACCGTTTTGTACCGTTCCGAAACGACATGGTACCGAATGGTTTTAGTCTTAGAACCGGACCGTACCGAACCGTTAGAAACCTCACGGATACATTACGGGTTTTGCTAATTTACCGGACCGTTCTGGACCGCGCCCACCCCTACTCCGTATTATATATTAATTTGTATGGTATATTAATATATTACATATATTAATTAAATATACACACATATAACTAGGCTCGTGAGCTAGCGAGCCTAAAATCATTAGGCTCGTTTATGACTCGACTGCTTAACGAGCCGGCTTTGACCGATCCCGATCCGAGCTTTGACCGAGCGGCTCACGAGCGGCTCTGCTCATTTGCACCCCTAGTGCTAGGAGGTGGTCGAGAGCAATGTTACAATTTTGTTTTTATTTATTTAGTACGGAGTACTATTTAGAGAAATCTTCCTAAAAACATTGAAAAAAGCTGGCCAAGTACGAAGAAGAATTACAAGAAATCTTCTTAAACTCCCATTGTTAAATTTTTGCTCCAGTTATTATTACAATATTTTAACTATCAAGAATTTAAATAATCTCACGAGGCAGGGCAACCGACCGGAGCCCTAATTCCAGCCCTGTTTTCCATTACCGGAGCTCCGCCATCGCTGCTGCGCTCTTACTGAGATCTCAACCTTCCCCCAACGCAGCAGTTGGCTCACCTCCCGAATACGAAACAGAGATGGATGTAGACGACGAGTATGAAGAAATAGAGGAAGAAATAGAGGAAGAAATCGAGGAAGAAGAGGAAGAAGAGGAAGAAACAGGAGAAGAATTCGAATTCGAGGAAGATGAATCCGAAGACGAAGTTGTAGAAGAAGCGGGAGCTGAAGATGATGAGGAACTAGTCTCATCCAATGCAATAGATAGCAGAAAAGGTTCGCCCTTTTGATGAATAAATTATGATCCTCTTATTGAGAACGTGTATCACCGCTTATCTTTGTTTATAAGCTCCGATTATCTCGTTGTTTTGGTGACGGGGACTGTAGACTATCTTATTCCAGTGTACGTATTGATGTTTCAGATGTATTTGACAATTTGTAATAAGCTAAATTTCCCCATTTATGTAAAGACATAGCTGAAGTATGCAAGGAAGCAGCATCAGTAGCTGAAGTTGAGGAAGAGTTAACTCTGGTCAATGGAAGTAGTGTTAAAAATCAAGAAACGGATAAAGAAGTGAAAGCTGAAGTGGGAACTGAAAATGCAGTGAGATTAACCCAAGTCATTGAAGAAGATAATGTGAAAGGTTTGTCTGCCTTACCTAAAAAGTACTCCGTATTAATTAGCAGGCTCATTGATAACATGATATAACCCTCAGCATTTGTTCATTATATTTTGATTTTTGCTTCAAATGTGAGTTTCGTCACTCTATTAGTCTACGTACCCTCAGCATCAGCACAATCTAATACGGTCAATTTATATGATGGAATGTAGAAGAACTGGACAGAAAAGGACCAGCTGCAATTGCCCAAGGATTAACTGCATTCGAGAAGATAGATCATGGAAAAGGTTTATCTATTCTATGTTGTTAATTTTATTAGCATCACAAATGCCATAGTACCCATCTTTATTAACAACATGATATATTTCTTCAAGGTTTGTTTGTTGAGTTTTAATAATCTTATTGTCTACTCTTTGCAAAAAGGAAAAAGATTCTTGCAATTGCATTGGTTGCACATTTTCGATGCGATATTGTGTGAAACTATTCTGCTAGAAACTATTGTGATAGTGTGCATTCTGCATTTATTTATGTAGTACTTGAAGTCAGTCCATTGTTCATTTTGTGATGCACAGTTCAAGGAATGAATGAATATGCAGCTGCAGAAGTTGTTGAGGAACAGGCACCAGCCATTATAAATGATCATAAAGAAGGTACCTGCTTGTTTTTTACCATGTCTACATCCTATCATGCTACACAGATTAATATTACACCATGTGTCATCCTCCAATGTTTTGATGATTAAAACTACCTATGGTGTTCAACGCGGATTGTTGCTCTTCAGGTTGAAAAGTTGCAATATGTAATTATGCATTGTTGTTAGATGTTTGGCACAAGAGAACAATTAGAACAAGAGTTGGTTGAAACTGATCCTGAAGAAGTGTTCACCACATTGTCCATTAGTCAAGGTGGTCGAGCGGATTTGGCCTTGTATAGTCACATAGTTTATTGAGGGGAAAAATGATGTTTTGACATATATTTCTTAATATGGGTGCTATGCGACATCTTCAATTAGGTGTATGTTGACATTTGTTTTGTTATTTGGAGAGATAAGGAAGGCTGATAGTACTTTTAGTAGTCAGGCCATCGAGTTGAGCATTAGTGCCAAAAACCAGTTCAGTACTTATAGGCTCTATTAGTATTTAGTGTTTTAGCTTATAGGCTCCCTCAGAGGATAGTGCCAAAAACCAGTTCAGTATCTCTGTACTTTCGATTTTTGTAGACTGATAAGTTTGGCTGTATTTACAGCTGCAGCTTGTTACTAGTCCTTTTCTTATTTGTGTTTAAAATTATCTTGTTACGGTCCTTCCAGATATTATCTCTAGACACCCCAATACATGAAGGAGAACAGATAATTTCTTCTGAGATTTGCAATGATCGGTAGTTTCTCCTTTCCTGAGTGTTAAAGATATCTTCCAATTATTACTAGGATGAAAGTACTGTTCTTTAACACTCATCATCATCATCATTACCCCAGTGCCGCAAAGGCTCCCACCTACGGTGGGGTAGGGGGGGGGGTCGGATGTACGCAGTCTTACCCCTGTACTAAAGCATGGAGAGACTCTTTTCGAATGACCCATGGACTGTTCTTTAACACTAAGGACACATAAAATATTAAATTGCATTCAAGTGAACAGAGATGCAATGCGCAATGACATGTTTCGTTATCCAGTGAATTCTTTGCAATGGAAGCTTGATAGGTTGTTTACAGATTTTGAAACAAGCTAAGAAACCCCAGGGTGACAATTCATGCTTATCTGATGAAACCCAACCTTGTTAGGTTGTAATGTTAAGAAATATAATTTCTTAAAAACTTACATGCGTTAATCAGAATGGGCAGTAATGCAACAATATTTTGTTTCAATTGCAATTGATGCACCTTTCTATGTGTGTGGCTCTTTGGGAATTGAATAGTCGTAGTGTGACATTTAATGATAGAAGAATGATAGTTGTGCATGTTTTGGAAAAGAGAACAGGATATTGGCACCTGAAGAAATGATGAATGAAAAGGCAATACTGTAGACCATGCTCCAATTAGTTAAGCGTTATGTCCACTGGGTTGTATACTATATCTGGTTATGCATCCATACCTATAAGGCTATAATCCAAGACTCCTAAAGGGGAGCTTTGGACAGGTTAAGGTATTGTTTTGTGACAGGTTAAGCTATTGCTGTGTGACTGCGAGGTTACATATTCAAAAATTGGCAAAGGCTTGCCCCCACTAGGGCCACTAAACCCTTGTGGTGGGATCCTTCCTCAGATCCTCTCTTGGCTAGGACAGCATCTTGCACTGGGCTGCCCTTTTTTAATCCAAGACTCCTGTTCCCTTTTTACCTTCCTACTATCTTTTTTGATAATGTCAAATTTTTTACAAAGGTTGACTAGAATGACCACTTAGGAGCTATCGACGTAGCCTTCCCAAGGCTCTATAGGGTTGGAGATTTCCTAGCAATATGGCAGGATTTGTTTTTGCGCTACAGACGCTGCTGGCGAGTAGGTTTTCTGGGACTTTAGGCAATGGATTCGGTATGGTTGTGCTATGACTGCTATCTCTGGGGTACTTGTCGGGGATTGTCTTGGCTTCCATGATGTTTGTTCTACATCTCCATACTAACATGGTATCAACGTGGAATCTGTGGAGCGGTTTGTGCAGGCAGATATCGACAAGGGAACGCCATTAATCTCGGATAAGGCGGTGTGTTTGTTGCAGCTGTTGAGCACCAATAAATCATGTTCGTGGATAGGGCTTACTGCCTATCACAGGTTCGGTTCGGTCAAAGGTCGGCGTTAGAGCCTATGTTCTGATTGTTCTAAAAAAATGGGACATAGGCTAGTGCTTTGGGCAGCCCTGTCTAAAAATATGTGTTAGACCAGGGATGTTGCTTTCAAGAAGTGTTCTTGCTTAGTCTAATGTGTCAGACCAGTGGTGTTGCTCTCAGAATGTGTTCTTTGTCTTTCAAGCTTTCTAGTCGGTAGCTGGTAAAACCTATAATGTTCCATTCATAGAGTTCTGGATCTTTTTCACATAAATGTTTAGAAGCATGATAGTTTGCCTGACTAACAGTGTCTTCAAGTTCGTCACACAATCAGTGACTCGGATTGCCTACGATAGGGAGTATGGTTCTACACCGTCCTAAAAGGAATGCTATATGGATGCTACAGGTATGCTAATGTGTATAGGTTGTGCTATATTCAGCAAAAAGAACTTGAGTATTTTGCTATTTGAGCTGATTTCAATTATCTATTTTCAAAAGTTAAATTATAAAAACAGCTATTGAAAGCCATAAGCAAGTTAAAATGGAAGGCCAACATAAGTTATGGTGTGATTGTGTGAACTTGTTGAGAAGCGTTCATCTTGATATTTTAAGTTACATTTCAAATTAGCCCGTGAGCTTGGTGATAATAATTATAGCAAATGTTCATAGCTGGATTTTTGTATATGAGGTAAATGTCAGTCACCCATTTGAATCAATCGTATGTGTCACCTCATTTTTTTTTTCAATTTCTCTATTCCTTTGAATAATAGATCCAAAGTAATTACTGACATGCCTGGAAAATACATCAAATAATGGCAGTACTACTGCCATATTAAAGCTTGATATTGCAATATATGGCATTAAAATTTCAGGATGTCAATAAGTTACTCTTATGTAGGAAGAAAAACATAGTGCTCCTGTTTTAGAAATATACATTGTTTTTACTCCTATTTCAGGAATTTTCCCTATATTTTATGTTGACTTTTTTATGTTCAAGTGCTTCTGATAGAGACCTCAAGCAAAGCAGTAGAAAATTAGTATTCTATTGATGAATAGAGTTGAGACACTTCAAGCAGTCTCCCTCTCCCAAAATAATAATGATAATAATAAGAGTAGTAAAGAGTAGCAAAAAGAACTTGAGTATTTTGCTATTTGAGCAGTCCAAGCCTAATTTCTGATTTTCTGCCTGCCTTCTTATTCCTCACTCCTCTTCTATTTATACTCCTCTTTACTAACCAACCCTCAACTCTTATTCATACTTCATACTACTCTTATTATTAACTCTTATTATTATTATTATTATTATTATTATTATTATTATTATTATTATTATTATTATTATTATTATTATTATTATTATTATTATTATTATTATTATTATTATTATTATTATTATTATTATTATTATTATTATTATTATTATTATTATTATTATTATTATTATTATTATTATTATTATTATTATTATTATTATTATTATTATTATTATTATTATTATTATTATTATTATTATTATTATTATTATTATTATTATTATTATTATTATTATTATTATTATTATTATTATTATTATTATTATTATTATTATTATTATTATTATTATTATTATTATTATTATTATTATTATTATTATTATTATTATTATTATTATTATTATTATTATTATTATTATTATTATTATTATTATTATTATTATTATTATTATTATTATTATTATTATTATTATTATTATTATTATTATTATTATTATTATTATTATTATTATTATTATTATTATTATTATTATTATTATTATTATTATTATTATTATTATTATTATTATTATTATTATTATTATTATTATTATTATTATTATTATTATTATTATTATTATTATTATTATTATTATTATTATTATTATTATTATTATTATTATTATTATTATTATTATTATTATTATTATTATTATTATTATTATTATTATTATTATTATTATTATTATTATTATTATTATTATTATTATTATTATTATTATTATTATTATTATTATTATTATTATTATTATTATTATTATTATTATTATTATTATTATTATTATTATTATTATTATTATTATTATTATTATTATTATTATTATTATTATTATTATTATTATTATTATTATTATTATTATTATTATTATTATTATTATTATTATTATTATTATTATTATTATTATTATTATTATTATTATTATTATTATTATTATTATTATTATTATTATTATTATTATTATTATTATTATTATTATTATTATTATTATTATTATTATTATTATTATTATTATTATTATTATTATTATTATTATTATTATTATTATTATTATTATTATTATTATTATTATTATTATTATTATTATTATTATTATTATTATTATTATTATTATTATTATTATTATTATTATTATTATTATTATTATTATTATTATTATTATTATTATTATTATTATTATTATTATTATTATTATTATTATTATTATTATTATTATTATTATTATTATTATTATTATTATTATTATTATTATTATTATTATTATTATTATTATTATTATTATTATTATTATTATTATTATTATTATTATTATTATTATTATTATTATTATTATTATTATTATTATTATTATTATTATTATTATTATTATTATTATTATTATTATTATTATTATTATTATTATTATTATTATTATTATTATTATTATTATTATTATTATTATTATTATTATTATTATTATTATTATTATTATTATTATTATTATTATTATTATTATTATTATTATTATTATTATTATTATTATTATTATTATTATTATTATTATTATTATTATTATTATTATTATTATTATTATTATTATTATTATTATTATTATTATTATTATTATT